GAATGACCTGCCTGCCCTGTGAATTTTGGAGCTGCCAGCCTCTACAATAGCACAGGATAATCCTTTGAAATAAACGTCTCTCTGTCTCTGTCTCTCTCTCTCTTTTTACATATACATGCATGTGGATATAGATGAGTGTGTATAGAGATAGAAATATCTAGCTATAGAGATAGATATCCATCTGTATCTGTATAGGTACATACAGATATATATAATAAATATTAAGTATATTTATATTAATACTATTTAATATTTAATGCATATTCATAATCTTTTTATTTATATTATTTGTATGTCCTATATTTTGCATATATTATTATATACCATATGTATTCTTTTGTATATTTGTATTAATGTATATTTATATGTTACTCATATTAATTTATATATTAATTTTTTTTGAGATGGAGTCTTGCTCTGTCACCCAGGCTGGAGTGCAGTGGTGCATTCTTGGCTCACTGCAACCTCCACCTCCCGGGTTCAAATGATTCTCCTGCCTCAGCCTCCCAAGAAGCTGGAATTATAGGCATGTGCCACTGCACCTGACTAATTTTTGTGTTTTTAGTAGAGACAGGGTTTCACCATGTTGGCCAGGCTGGTCTTGAACTCTTGACCTCAAGTGATCCTCCAGCCTCGGCCTCCCAAACTGCTGGGATTATAGACATGAGCCACTGCCCCCGACCCTCAATTTGTATATTAATTTTAACAAGATCGTAAAGATGATTATATGGGTGTATATAACATGGCAAATACAGGTGTGTGCCTGTGAGTGACAGCACACAAGACGTGCCCTCGGCCTGGGCTTCCCTCCAGCAGCCTTGGCCGTGGCTGGAAGGAGCCACTCCAGGATCCAGGGAAGCCCTTGTTTGGCCAGTGCCTGCACGCCTTGCCATCCACACCCTTTACGAGTGCTGCGGAGCACCTGCCACCTGGAGCCACGCAGACAAATCGGGAGCCGGCGCTGGCTCGGTGATCTGTGATTAGCTTTGTGGCTCAGATGCGCTTCCTGGACAGTGGGCTCCCTGCTCACAAAATGAGAAACGTCTTTCTCGCGGCGCCGTTCCTCCTGATTCCGGGTCACCTCAGAGGCCCTAAACCATCCCTGCTTCCTTTGCTCTTCGAATGAGCAGACAGCAGGACGCACATGCATCCCTGAACCCGGGCGCTTTGTGCCGAGAGCGCCACGTGGGTTATTCTTCCTGTTTATGTCATCTCCTAGGGCCCTGCTGATAGTTTAACATGTAAAATGGCAGTTATCAATAATAAAATGCATCCCTGCCCCGTGCCCTCCTCTGCCTCTCTGGATGGATAATTCTTCAGTTACCACGGGGACCCCGAACGTGGAAGGAGTCCTCCGACCCGGATCCTGCTCCATGTCATCACTCGCCCCGCGGTGAGCAGCAGAAGGGCCTTTGAGAGGGTGGCCTCTTCCTTCACTGTTCCGGCTGGAGAGGGGCGCAGACCCCTTTCCTGGGGACAGGAGGCCATGGGCGTCAGCAGCAGGCAGGAGGGACCACCTCTTTCTCCCCGCCATGCAAACAGCCACACTGGCCACTGCCCAGGTCCTCCTCCAGCTGCCGCGGTAAACTGAGGCAGCTGCTGCTTCCCCCAAAAAAACTGTCCCCCAGCCAGGGCTTGGCCCGCCGTGGGATCCTGCAGGCCATCTGACCACGCTCAGCTTCTCATCCGCCCGAGATGCCAGGCTCCGGAGGCTCCCTGGGGCGGTTGGAAATGCAGAAGCAGCTCAGTCCCCAGCCAGCGAGGGCACCGTCCCTCACGGGGACTCCGCAGGTCTTGGAAAGGCCACTGTCCTGCCTCAGGAAGGCCGGGTGGCTGCGCCCTCTGGCGGGTGAGAAGCTCAGTGCGGGCCGGGCCGCCTCCCTGCCTTCAGGAGCGTTTGCCATTCCTGCGTTACTTAGGACTGGAAGGGTCAAACTATGTCTTTTTGAAAGGTAGCCAAAATCTCAAGCTAAAAGGTAATCATTCGGGATGCTTTTACATTCAAATATCTGAAGTGATGCTCTAGTCTCCCACTGAAATCCATCCAGGTCTGCGGAGAGGCCCTGCAGACAGCCAAGGTCAGTGACACCCTCCAGGCAGCATCTCCATGCGAGGGTCGGTAGCCACCTTTGTGAGACACAGAAGACCTTGGGCGGATGCCGCTGCTTTGTGTGTGTGCGACACCGGGATCCTTTGCTATTTTCCTTCATGCTTTCCTTTCTTGTTTAGCTACTAACATGTATTAGTTTCATAATTCAAAAAATTATAAGTGCAAGAATTCAAAGTTACTGTGTGTCAAAGGCATGAAGCAAACTCAGAGGCTGCAACCTCTTTCCCCTGCTGCAAAACCTCACTGCTGTAGTTCCCATGAATAAAGTCTGCCTCACTGCCTCGAAAACAAAAAAAGAAAAAGAAAAGAAAGAAAAACAAGATGGGGAAAAGTACAGAATCTGTGTTATTTCCATTTACAAAGCATCATTGTCCCAAGAGAAAACATTATTAAAATAGCCTATTTTCACCATAGAAGCAGTAAAACTTGCTTTTAGGCATGAGAAATGGTTCTCACTAGGAGTGAGACTTGGTAGAAGATCATCAGAAAGACTGTTATAATCCTATGACTCCATGTTACTCCCTCCTGGCAAGAAACAGCACCTTCTACCACGGCCGTCAATTTTCTTCGTACACCAAGAGGGCTTCCATCCGTGGCAGGTCTCAGCACAAGTCCACGCCGCGTCTTAGAAATTGCAAAGAACTGGCCAGGTGCAGTGGTTCATGTCTGTAATCCCAGCACTTTGGGAAGCCAAGGTGGGAGGATCATGAGGTCAGGAGATTGAGACCATCCTGACCAACATGGTGAAACCCCGTCTCTACTGAAAATACAAAAATTAGCCAGGCGTGGTGGCGGGTGCCTGTAGTCCCACCTACTCGGGTGGCTGAGGCAGGAGAATAGCTTGAACCCGGGAGGCGGAGCTTGCAGTGAGCTGAGATTGCGCCACCGCACTCCAGCCTGGGTGACAGAGCGAGACTGTCTTGAAAAAAAAAAAAAAAAAAATACAAAGAACTTTCCACAACTTGCAGGTGAGCCCCTCTCTGGAAAGGTGGTCAAATCTAAAAAGAGTTGCTATGGAAAGGCTGGTTCTCAGGATGAGCCAGATTGTAAATATTTCTACTTAAGCCCAATACCTCTAAGATGTAAAGTTTAAATATAATGTCATATAAATTTCCAAAAGTCACTTTAGTGAAAAGTGTTTTAGCCTTTACAACTCAGTGCAAATGGTGTGAAATGCATCTGCTGGGGACGTGTCTCAGCCTCCTTCCGCAGCCACGCAGCTCAGAGGCCAAGGTGGGCCGACCGCAGGGTTTCCAGAAGGAGAAGGAGTGCTGAGAACAGCTCATCTTGAAATCCATCGCCCACCTTTTAGAAAGTGGTATGAAATTAAGATCTTTCTTTTTATTTTCTTTTTTTTTTAGACCTAGTCTTGCTCTTGTCTCCTAGCCTGGAGGTACAATGGCATGATCTTGGCTCACTGCAACCTCCACCTTCCAGGTTCAAGGGATTATCCGGCCTCAGCCTCCCGAGTAGCTGGGACTACAGGAGGGTGCCACCGTTCCCAGCTAATTGTTGTATTTTTGGTAGAGATGGGGTTTCACCATGTTGGTCAGGCTGGTCTCAAACTCCTGACCTCAGGTGATCTGCCTGCCTTGGCCTCCCAAAGTGCTGGGATTACAGGCATGAGCATAGAAACTATGCTCTTTTGTAGGGAGGAGATGTTACCATTGACACGCTCATCGAATGTTAATTACACACACACACACACACACACACACACACACACAGAGTATTTCAGGCTGCTATCATTTGTCAGTCCTGAAGTATTGCCTCAAAATCAATGAACAATCTTGGTGATGACGGTCCAGCATCTACTGTCCAACCCTATGGCTTGACTAACTGACCACTTTCCTCAATGTCAAGGGACTCAGGTTTCGACATTTTAATATAAGCTGTAAGAGTTTAGAAAATGTCGTTAGACCCCAGCATCAATAATGGGTCCGGGAAACACACCTCACCACTGAAAAGCAGGCTAGCGGCCCTGTTCTTTTGTCAGATTTAGAATAACGGGTTTGGACCAGGTCCCCGCACTGACTTTGCAGACCTCAGCTGGTTATGGAAGCCCACGGTCAGGGGAGCTCTTTTCGGAGGAGTCAGCGGAGCTGAACTGCCTGAGACAGGAACCGCAGGCCCGGGGACTGAGAGGGGCTCAGAGGGCGATGCCCTGGGCGACTGGTGGGTGGGGACTGCCCCTCCTGAAGGGACCAAGGTTCCACATGTTCCCCTTAAAAGCGGAAGTCCCAGGAGCACAGGTGTTGAGGCTTCTGCGGATTAAAAGCCCCACTGTGTTCCACGGGCAGGTGGCTCCTGTTTTCTGGATGGCTGGGGACAGTGGACTTGACCACCGGAAACCCCCAGGCAGGAGGAAGCCCAGCAGTCCTCAGGCCCCAGGCCAGGGTGGGTGGTGGAGGTAACTCAGAGCCCGGGGACTGCTCCGCAGAGGGTTCTGCCTGCAGCCTTCCCTTCTGGCCCACCACCCCCTGTCCTGCTGTGTCACTCGGGAAGGGGATGAGTGGCGGGCCAAGGGGAGGGAGCCTCCAGCAGAAGCCAGAGATGTTGGTGGAGCCCACTCTGCGAGGCCATGCCCAGAGACTCCAGCCCCTCTGTTGCTCTGCAGAAGCGCTGGCCGGAAAGGTGGAGCGGGGAGGAGCCTCATGTTCTCTGCACCACAGCCTCCTAGTGGATTCCCTGTGGCAGCCAGGGTTGTTCCCTCCCAGGCACTGAAGCTGACACATGTGAGGAGACACAGGTGGCCAGGTGTCCCGTGGGGGTCCCTGGAGCAGCCACCTCACTCCGCCCGGGTCCACCCCACACACTGCTACCCCTGAGGGCCACTCACATCATGAGGAACAGGTCCCGGAGCTTCGACTTCAGGGTGGGTGCCCTAGAACCTTGGCACCATGGACCTCACCACCCTGTCCCCGAGCTGGGTCCGGCTCCGTCACGTCTCACCCCTTCCCTCCCCCCCATCCCTCTGGATAAGGCTCGTGCGGCGAAGCAGTGCCCTGGGGTTCCCTGTGACCCTGGGGAAGGGGACCAGCCCTACAGGGTCTGTGGGTTTTTCTCCCCGTGTGCGGAGATGAGAGATCATAGAAATAAGACAAAGAGATAGAAGAAAAGGCAGCTGGACCCGGGGGACCACTACCACCAAGAGGCGGAGACCGGTAGTGGCCCCGAATGCCAGGCTGCGCTGATATTTATTGGATACAAGACAAAGGGGCAGGGTAAGGAGTGTGAACCATCTCCAGTGATAGGTAAGGTCACGTGGGTCAGGTGTCCACTGGACAGGGGGCCTTTCCCTGTTTGGCAGCCGAGGCGGGGAGAGAGAGAGAGAGGAGACACCTTACGCCATTATTTCTGCATATCAGAAACTTTTAGTACTTTCACTAAGTTTGCTACTGTTATCTAAAAGGTGGAGCCAGGTGTACAGGATGGAACATAAAAGCGGACCAGGAGCGTGACCGCCGAAGCACAGCATCGCAGGGAGACAGTCAGGCCTCCGGATAACTGCGGGTGCACCTGACTGATGTCAGGCCCTCCATAAGAGGTGGTGGAGCAGGGTCTTCTCTAAACTCCCCTGGGGAAAGGGAGACCCCCCCCCTTCCCGGTCTGCTGAGTAATGGGCGCCTTTACTAGGCACTGAGGCTACCGCTAGACCAAGGTCCGCTAGGCAACGGGCGTCTTCCCAGGCGCTGGCATTACTGCTAGACCAAGGAGCCCTCTAGTGGCCCTGCCCGGGCGTGACGGGGGCTCACAGTCTTGTCTTCCGGTCACTTCTCAGCGTGTCCCTTCAGCTCCTCTCTGTACAGCCTGGTTTTTCCTAGGTTATGATTATAGAGCGAGGATTATTATAATATTGGAATAAAGAGTAACTGCTGCAAACTAATGAGTAATAGTGTTCATATATAATCATATCTATGATCTATATCTAGTATATTCTTATTTTATATATTTTCTTTATTATACGGGAACAGCTCGTGCCCTCGGTCTCTTGCGTCAGCACCCAGGGGGCTTGCCGCCCACATGCACCCCACCCCGTCTTGCCAGAGACTGCAGCCTCTGCGGTGAGCCTCCCACCTGAGCATCGGGCCCCTGCCGGTAACAGTGTGGAGGTGGTTGGGGGTGCCGAGAGACAGGAGCTGAACGGTGGGCTAGGGTACCCCCCAACTGGGAGAGCCCGCAGCCCTGGCAGTTCTCTGACCCTCAGGAGCCCCCTCTGCTGGTCAGGAGTCCAGGGGGTTCTTCCTGCTGCTGTTTCCCTAACCTGGTGGTGGGAGGCCTGGCACAGCGGCTCCAGGTCACATGGGCAGGAAAACAGGATAGAGGAGCAGCCACCAGTGCGGTGCGCTGGGCCTGTGGCCAGACACACTGACCACCCCCATGTCCAGCGCTGGGGCAGGTCTCTCTGTGCTGTGGGTGGGAGGGTCGCAATGCAGAAGGGGCTCCTCTCCCGGGTGCCAGTTTGGGGCTACCCCGCAGCACCCACCAGACCTCCCTCTCTGAGCCTGTGGGCACTGGGGGTCCTCAGCCACTGAAGGGAGAGCCAGGGGTCGTGTCAGTTCCCCCTTGCCCATCCCCAGCACTTTTGGAGGGACCTGGAGAAAGAGGGGAGGGGCCCGGCCACAGGGAGGTGGTGCAGCCCCTGGAGTCTCAGCGCTTGCCCTGCCTGGAGCAAGGGTGCTGGGGCTACTGGTGCCTCCCCAGCCCGTCCTGGCCTCCAGTGATGTGGTGCCCCCAGAAACACACGCGGAGGACCCCAGGAGGGGCCTGGGGCAGCCAGTGGTAAGTGGGGCAGATGGGGTCACGGCGCTGCGGACTCCCAGCTCAGGGGTCCAGGGTGCTCCCTTGGCTCCCCTGGGAGGGAGGGAGGGAAGGAGGGAGCAGGACCCACTGCGGTCCCCACCCTCCAGAGAGCGAGTTGCTGCCAGTTCACGCCCAGGGTCAGGGTGGACGTGGGCACAGCCGCAGTGACAGATTCTGCCTCTGCCTCTGAGGCCTGGGCCCAGGATCGCGGTCCACCCCCCACCCCGCCGTGCCTCTCAGCTGCTGGATGTGAGCCTGTTGCTTCATGTCGGGGAAGAAGCAGGAGAGAATTCTCTGATCCATCAGAAACAACCAGGGAAGAGCCAGGACAGCCCCCGGGCCTCCTGCCATCGCCCTAAGGAAGACCCCTCCCCAGCTGTGGAGGGGAGGCCAGGTCCCCGGTCTTGGTGGGTAAACACCAGGGGACAGGGGCGGGCCAGGGAGCCCACACTGGAGAGAACTTTGAAGGGAGCTTTCCAGAGCCCCAAAACCTCCGTCAGGTAAGGGTGGTCTGGGGTGGGGGTGGTCTGGGGGTGGAGGTGGTCTAGGGGTAGATGGTCTAGGGGTGAAGGAGGTCTGGGGTGGAGGTGGTCTGGGGTGGAGGTGGTCTGGGGTGGAGGTGGTCTGGGGTGGAGGTGGTCTGGGAGTGGGATGGTCTGAGGGTGGAGGTGGTCTGGGGTGGAGGTGGTCTGGGGTGGAGGTGGTCTGAGGGTGGAGGTGGTCTGGAGTGGAGGTGGTCTGAGGGTGGAGGTGGTCTGAGGGTGGAGGTGGTCTGGGGTGGAGGTGGTCTGGAGTGGAGGTGGTCTGAGGGTGGAGGTGGTCTGGGGTGGAGGTGGTCTGAGGGTGGAGGTGGTCTGGGGTGGAGGTGGTCTGGGGTGGAGGTGGTCTGAGGGTGGAGGTGGTCTGAGGGTGGAGGTGGTCTGGGGTGGAGGTGGTCTGAGGGTGGAGGTGGTCTGAGGGTGGAGGTGGTCTGGGGTGGAGGTGGTCTGGGGTGGAGATGGTCTGGGGTGGAGGTGGTCTGAGGGTGGAGGTGGTCGGGTGGAGTGGTTGGGTAGAGTGGTCTGGGGTGGGATGGAGGTTGTCTGGGGTGGGATGGTCTGGGGTGGAGGTGGTCTGAGGGTGGAGGTGGTCTGGGGTGGAGGTGGTCTGAGGGTGGAGGTGGTCTGGGGTGGAGGTGGTCTGAGGGTGGAGGTGGTCTGAGGGTGGAGGTGGTCTCGGGTGGAAGTGGTTTTGGGTAGAGTGGTCTGGGGTGGGATGGAGGTTGTCTGGGGTGGGATGGTCTGGGAGTGGAGGTGGTCTCGGGGTAGAGTTGGTCTGGGGGTGGAGGAGGTCTGTGGGTGGAGGTGGGCCAAGGTGGAGGTGTTCTGGGGGTGGAGGTGGTCTGGAGTTGGAGGTGGTATGGGGTGGGGTGGTCTCAAGTGGAGGAGGTCTGTGGGTGGAGGAGGTCTGTGGGTGGCCGAGGTCTATGGGTGGACATGAGCCAAGGTGGAGGTGGTTTGGGGTGTGATGGTCTGGGGTTGGAGATGGTCTGGGGTTGGAGGTTGTACGGGGTGGAGTGGTCTGGGGTTGGAGGTGGTCTAGGGTTGGAGGTGGTCTAGGGTTGGAGGTGGTGTCGGGTGGAAGTGGTCTGAGGGTGGTCTGTTTGCCTGCATTCCAGCTGAAAACAACTTCAGACAAGTCACTATAAGGCCGGGATGAGATGAGACAGAATGGCCCTTTCATAATTTTGTCTAAACACCGACAAATCAGGATCCCAGTGCCCGCCATGAAATGCCAAACCTCCCCTTTTCTCTGCTAACAGGAGCTGGGCCTTGCCTGGGGTCAGACTTTCGCCAGCTGGTCATGGGGGCTCCAGCTTTCCGGCAGCCTCCAACCTGGGGAGACCCCCAACCACCCAGCCACAGCCCAGTCCTACAGAGGGTCTTCCTGATGCTCCTCCTGTGACCCCAGGGTGCCCATGGTGTGTGTGGCCACATGCCCTGAGGTGTAGCCCAACCTTTCAACCACAGGCAGCTCCTGGGGCTCTGGCTGGACAGAGAGGCCAGGGTCAAGGGGCAGGTGAAGCCTGAGGGTGCTCGGGAGTGGCCAGGGATGGCCCTGAGTATGGAGGGTCTTCCCCGCTTCCCCGGGTACCCACAGGAGTTACTACAGCCACTTTCCACGTGTCTGGGGCTCTGCCACGTGTGACCAACTCCCCGGGAAAATGAAGTGGCTACAGGTCTCAATCAAATCCTTTAAAGAAAAGTTTCAGGAAAGAGAAACATTTACCACAAGCAGAGGGCTGAGGAACTAAGAAATAGCTCTGGCTGAGAAGACGCGTGGGGGCCAAGCTGCAGGTCCAGCGAGAGGGACAACAGTGGGCGAAGATCCACGAAACCCCTTCCGCGAGACTCCCACTCCTGTGGGAAGATGGAAGTGGCCCGGGCCGGTGGGAGAGCCCAGCGGGATGCCAGGGTGGCACTGGGCACTGCATGGGGAGCCAGGGCCGGTGGGGGGGGGGGGCTCCGGGAGAGATGAAAGCCGCCTGCCCCAGGCACAGGACTAAGGGCTGCACACAGCATGGGAAGACCTTCCCTTGAAGACGTTTCTCCCCATGCCCTCTTCCCCCTGCAGCCCTCCTCTGCTCCCCAAGTTCCAAACACACCAAGCCAAAGCCTGCTTGAGCCTCGAGCCCTTTGCACTTGCTCTGCTGCGGGTTATAAAGCAAAATGTAAAACACAACGTGCATCACGTCCAGTTCACATATTTCCACCATATTGGGGCGTTTTTAAGGGTCACGCTTGATTTTTATCCTAAAGCCAGTGACAGCCACTCAATCTTTGGAGACTGGGATGCCAGGGCTGTCGCTTGCATCTGCGGTTGGAGTTTGCCAGGCAGCAGGAGCCTTGGGCCAACTTTGGGCTCCAGAAGCTGCCACCTCAGGCCTGTGGCTCTCCCGCCGTCTTACCACAGAGTCCCCTGGCGGCCCTGCTGAGTCAAGCCGGCTTCCTGCCTTCCCAGACCTGGCTCGTCCCTGAAACCCAGGAGGGAACCCTGAGACTCTCAGCCCCTCTGCCCAGAGCTGCTCAGGCTCGCTTGGAGCCCTGCACGCATTTGGCAAATATTTACTGTGTGTGCACTGTGTGCCCGGCACTGTCATTGAACCAGAGGGTAGAACAATGACCACAACCAGGGACACCTGTTCTCAGGGCTCCAACCTTCTGGGGAGGGATGGGTACAGTGAAGCGCATCTGTGAGGTGACAGGTCCAGCAAAGGAACGCAAACAAGGAGACGGAAAGACGGAGCTGCTAGTTTACACGGGCACTGGTGAACATAAACGTTTGTGTTTAAGGACAAAGAAAATGGTTGCAGCTGTGCAGGCGTGTGGGGTTCACACTGGGACAGTAACCACGGTTGAAGCCTGGTGCCCCCCAGCTTAGGAGAAAGAAGGAAATGAGGAGCAGTGTGCAAGCTCTGATCGAGATGGCCCAAACCCAAGAAGCCAAAAGTGTATTGGGGTGCAAGCTACACTTTACACGCTTATGCATTCTTCCATGTGTAAAAAAGTTTGGACACCCAGAGAATCTGCGTTTAATGCCTTTCAAATCGAGGGAACGAAAGGTCCTGCCTCCACGGTCTGGGAGAGCCTCACACACACAACACACAAGGTAATGACTGATTTTTCCTTTTCTGCAAGGAATTTCCTGATCTCTCTCTTCCCAGCTCAGGAATGAGCCTTAGGAAGGGGCAGAGGTCGAACCTTTTGGTTCAAGCAAGGCTTGGGGTCCGAGGGGGAGGCCTAGCTGGAGGAGACTGGGGGGTTTGGAGGAGTGAGGGAGACGCCGCAGGTGACCGGAGCCCCCTCCTCAGCACAGCCCCTAGCTCAGGCCCCTGAAGCGCTCCGGGTGGAGGCTGCAATCATTACTGTAAAACCATTGTCTTCGAGAGCAGGCGCCTTCCGCTCCTGGCATGGTGCTGAGTAGAGATACGGTTTTGCTTTAGATATGAACGTGCACGTTTGCAGGAAAACCTAACTATGGGTGTGCCTGTGTTTATCCCATATGAAGGACTTCTCCGTCTGTTGCTGTTCTATTGTTACTGTATCAGGCGCTGACGGTTTATTAATACCTTTTCAGCAACATGGAGAAAACAGATGATGTTTTCCCCATATCTATCATTACTACAGTGAGTCTTTTATTTGTTGGTTTGGTTTTTTCATTGTCGTTGTTTTTCTTGAGATGCCCAAGCTAGAGTGCAGTGGCGTGATCTGAGCTCATTGCAACTTCTGCCTCCCGGGTTCAAGCGATTCTCCTGCCTCAGCCTGCCGAATAGCTGGGATTACAGGTGCCCGCCACCATGTATTTTTAGTAGAGACGGGGTTTTGCCATGTTGGCCAGGCTGGTCTTGAACCCCTGACTTCAGGTGATCCACCTGCCTCAGCCTCCCAAAGTGCTGGGATTACAAGTGTGAGCCACCACATGCAGCCTCATTTATGTCTGGTATTATTTACAATATCAGGTACATTTGCATTCTTGATGTCAACCCTTCATTGCCACGATGCATCATTGTGCAAATCCGATGCTGGGTCTGATTTGCCAAGCCCAGAGTCGGGGGTGAGAGTGTGGTGAGCTCAGGTGAGGACACGGGAGGGGTCCAAGGAGCTGGACCCTGGGGGAGGGAGAGAGGTGGGATCTCGGCTCACTGCAAGCTCCGCCTCCCAGGTTCACGCCATTCTCCTGCCTCAGCCTCCCGAGTAGCTGGGACTACAGGTGCACGCCACCTCACCTGGCTAATATTTTTTTTTTTTTTTTGTATTTTAGTAGAGACAGGGTTTCGCCATGTTTCCCAGGCTTGTTTCAAACTCCTGAGCTCAATCAATTCGCCTGTCTCGGCCTCCCAAAGTGCTGGGATTACAGGCGTGAGCCACCGCGCCCGGCCGAGGATTTCAAGACAGTGACAGCAAGGCACGAAGCCTTCCAAGTGTGGGAGCCTGTGTGTCTGCGGGAGCTGTGTGCCTGTGAAGCAGACCCTGGGGCTGAGGCAGGAAAATACGGTCTGGAGGCAGGGAACATAAGGCGGATTCACACTTCAGCTATGACAGGACATGTCCTCTCCACGGGCACAAACCCAGCAAACGACTTTAGAACTCATTCTCTTCATTTACATAGGGCGGACCCCCAGTAGAGGGTATCTGAACTCACAAAAACTCTATGACGGGATCCTTGAGCCCCTATGCTCAGCCGCTCCCACGCCGTGGAGTGCACTTTAATTCTCAATAAATCCCTGCTTTTGCTCTCCTCACTTTGTTCGTGCGTTTTGTCCAATTCTTTGTTCGAGACGCCAAGATCCTGGACATCCTTTCTGGGTACAGTACCAGGGCTTCCGAAACAGGGCTACAGAAGCCTTGGTAGGGGGATGACTGAAGGGGGAAAAAGGCAGGAAGTAGGCAAGCCCCACCCACAGAGTATCCACCCCCTCCTCCGGTTCTGTCTACACTGCAGGAGCTAGAAGATAAAAATGACCATTCCAAGTCTAGGGTAAGAGTGAGGTCCTGCCAATCGAATGCCTTTCCCCAGGTCTGGAAAGGAAGGCAGGCAGAGGCCCGCGCCGGGGCTCACGTGTGGCTGTGCACGAGGGTGAGCTCGGCGCCTGCAGCTTCAGCTGCAGCTGGTCACCTGCTTCCCCGGCAAAAGGCCTGGGTAGACGCACACCCCAGTGCTGTCACCAGCCTGTGGATGCCCTGAGGTGGCTCCCTGTCCCTGGACCACATGGCAGGTGCGCTGGAGCTCAGGGTTCCAGTACAGCTTGGAAGTCTGGGGTCTCCCGGGGCCAGCGCTGTGGATGGCTGGAGTCCTTCCAGGAGGTCCAGCCCCCAGAGCTGCCCTCGAGAACATAAGCTTCTGATTTCCACTCTGGATCCGCCTGACTGAAAATACCCCGAATGGCTGCTTTTCCTGCTCTGACTGAACCACTGCTTGTACTTGCTTCCTGGGGCAGCCCTAACAAAGGACCACAAATGACAAGAACGTCCCTCTCCCAATCCTGGGGGACAGAAGTCCGAGATGCAGGGGTGGCCAGGGCTGGTTCCTTCTGGGGCTGTGACGGAGCCCCTGCTCTGGTCTCTTCCAGCTTCTGGGTCTTGCTGGCAACCCTTGGTCCTCTGTGACTTACAGAAGCATCACCCCAACCTCTGCCTTCATCTTCACGTAACGTCCTAATGTCCATCAATGACAGACTGGATAAAGAAAATGTGGTACATATACACCATGGAATACTATGCAGCCATCAAAAAGAATGAGGTCATGTCCTTTGTAGGGACATGGATGGAGCTGCAGGTCATTATCCTTAGCAAACTAATGCAGGAACAGAAAGCCAAACGTCGCATGTCCCCACTTATAAGTCAGACCTGAACACAGAGTACATAGGAACACAAGGGAAGGACAGCACTGTGGTGCACTTGGCGGCGGGGGTGGGGCGGGGTGGGGGCAGGAGGAGGGAGAGGATCGAAAAGCTACCTATTGGATACTATGCTTCTTACCTGGTTGATGAAATAATCTACACACCAAACCCCATGACGTGCAATTCATCTATATGGCAAGCCTGCACATGCAGCCCTGAACCCCAAGTAAAAGCTGAAAGAAAGCTTGTCTCCAGACAAGGTTGCCTTAGAAGGCACTGAGCATTTGGGCTCCCTCAAATGGAATTTTTCTGGGGGGGATCTATTCAACTCCAGGCTGCCTTCGAGCTTGTGTCCAGCAGCTAAGCATCGTGTGCAGTCATTGTCTTCCCATGTCCAGTTTTTCAAGGCCCCATGACATTGCAGATAAGCCCAAGTTCCTCCACGTCTCCAGGTCTGGCTCCTGCATGCACTAGGGGCTTCTTAGGGCCTGATGTGCCACACAGCTCAGCATACAGACCCTTCCTCATCCTTCCGCTGGAGTGGCCTGGCCCTGATCTTCCCTCCCTCCCACAGGACGGCGGTGCCTCTGCGGCTGACACCACCACCCTCACCACCTGTCCCTCTCCCCGCCTCTCCCCACGCACCAGATTGTGAGCTTGGGTTTACTCTGCTCTGTCATCTCCAGAGCCCAACACAACAAGGGGCCCAGAGCAGAAAGCTGTAGACGTTAGTTCTGTGCATGAAGACATGGACCATGGCATGAAAGAGGCTGAGGGGAGAGAAATGGGAACAGTCCCGGGGGCGGGCAGGAAGATGGTGCTTCTGGGAATTAGAGAGAGGTGGGAAGGAGAGAGCCACAAGAGACTGAGCTTTGCGCCTCGAGACTTTGTTTATTTAGAGGGTCAGGATTCAGTCTTGACATACAGATAGCCAGAGAGATTAAGGGTGGATCACACTCCTGAAAAAAGGGGCAGCTGTCAGGGTCTAAGGGGTCTGAGCTGCCTCTGGGGCCTCAGTGGGCCGCTTTGGATCTTAAATGAGTGCGGAACAGGGAGAGGAAGTTCAGGAGAAGTAACAGGCAGTGAGCCAGAAGGGGTCCCCAGTCAGTTTCGGGAGCGCTGGTGTGGAGTGGATGAAGCCAGTGAGGACACAGTGGAGACAGTGGAGCACCAGAGAACCCAGAGCGAGGAAGCTGGGCAGCTGGACGCTTCGCCAGTCGGGCCACCTACGGTCTGCAGCCAGAGCCTCAGATCTTACACTGGCAGCACACGGGGACACAGCAGCTGGACTGGGAGCAGCAGGGCTTGCAGCAGCTGGACTGGGAGCAGCCACAAGAACCACAGCCTCCCTTGGAGCCCCCACAGGAGCCACAGCTGGAGCAGGAACAGGCTGGCACACAGCAGCACACGGGTTTGCAGCAGCAGACGGACACACAGCGGCTGGAGCCACAGCCCCCACAGCCGGAGCCACAGCCTCCAGAGCAGCCACAGCAGCCCATGGTTCTGGTGGATTGAGCAGGTAGAGGAACAGGTGAGAGGGAGGTGCAGGTGTGGAGCTTCCTGAGCCTGGGCCCCTTATATCCCTGGGTAGGGTCACTCTGAGACCTACCTCATAGCTGTGTGGCACATCAGGACCTAAGAAGCCCCTAGTGCATGCAGGAGCCAGACCTGGAGATGTGGAGGAACTTGGGCTTATCTGCAATGTCACAGGGCCTTGAAACACCAGACTACCTCGGTCACTCCATCATTGCCAGCACTTCCTGGGTATGTGATTATCTGTTTGCTGGACTTCCGGTTCTCATTGGCCTGATCCAACACCCACCTGCTTACCTTTCTAAATGTAGCCACTTCCTCCTTGGAACTGGACCTTGTACTGAACCTGATCACCTGCCTTCTGTTTTCCTCACGTGACCGGCAGAGAACAGGTGTTCTACGAAGCTCATTTTGGTTGTTTTCTTCCCACCAATGGCACCACGTTTTTCTTTGAGACTGTGACCTCTGTGTAAAGAGAATTTTTTAAAAACTAAGCTTTCATCCATATAATTTATTTATTTATTTATTTTTATTATACTTTAAGTTCTAGGGTACATGTGCATAACGTGCAGGTTTGTTACATATGTATACTTGTGCCATGTTGGTGTGCTGCACCCATCAACTCGTCAGCACCCATCAACTCGTCATTTACCTCAGGAATAACTCCCAATGCAATCCCTCCCCCCTCCCCCCTCCCCATGATAGGCCCTGGTGTGTGATGTTCCCCTTCCCGAGTCCAAGTGGTCTCATTGTTCAGTTCCCACCTGTGAGTGAGAACATGCGGTGTTTGGTTTTCTGTTCTTGCGATAGTTTGCCGAGAATGATGGTTTCCAGCTGCATCCATGTCCCTACAAAGGACACGAACTCATTCTTTTTTATGGCTGCATAGTATTCCATGGTGTATATGTGCTCATCCATATAATTAAAGAGGCAAATTGAGGAACAAATGTTGTGTCCTGGTTCTGTCTTAACATGTGGGTGCACGGCATTCAGCCTCTCCTCCACCAGCCTCAGGTCGTGGGGCGCTCAGGACTCCTGGCTGCTGCATACACAGCCTCACATGGTGAGTATCGTTCATGTTAAAAATCTTCAGGAATTTCATGGGTGGATGGAGAATCTCATTTATCACCCTGTTGTTAATCTCTTCAATTAACTATTACTGAGGCTGATTCTTTTACTCCAATATAAATTATATACTTTTTTGACTTCTATTACTGCTTCAAAAGTTATTTGGATATTGAGAGAACGAATCCCTCGTGTCCAAACAGTGCACTTTGTTTTTCCACAGGTGTGTACTTGAGTTTAATTTCCGACGTTTTTAAACACTATTCTCACTTTGTCTTGTCATTTTATTTTCTGCCTCGCCAACATTATTAGATGGTAAAAACGAGTATCTTTCAAGCTTTGGGTGAAAGGTCTTGTCTTGTCTGGAAGAGGTGAGAGAGAGGGTTATAGGCTCCATAGTTCCCATTGCTAATGGGGGCCGGGGGGAGCAGGGGACTGAGAGAAACCCACAGAGAGGGAAGTGCTCACTGTGCTGAAAATACCGTCTTCCAAGGGGACACACTGAGTGGAGGATGCAGCCCTGTGTGGCAACAGTTCACTCCTCCCGACGGGACGCCGTGAGGCTGGGGTGGGGACGTTTCATAAGACCTGGATCGTGAGCACAGAGCCCAGGCATCCTAACAAATCCGTCCCCCACCAACCCTGCCCAAGGCCGCACTGGACGTGAGCAGACCATCAGGCACCCCAGGCGCTCGCCAGAGCTTGGCAGCTCTGCCCTCAGGTGCCGGGTGAAGGGAACCAGGAGCATCCTTTCGGTTCAACATAGGCAGAAGATCTAGACAGGATTGGCCAAACCCGAGAGAGGTAACGTGAGATTCTGTAACAGCTACGAAAACAAACCTTAAAAAACGAAAGGAGGAGGAAAGGAAGGAAACAAACCTTTCCAATTGAACTCGTCATTCAGGAGACAAAAGTAGATTTCCTGCAAATTGTTGAATTATGCAGCAAATAATAACAAATATGGCAGCAAATTACAAATATGGCATAGTAACTTTAAAAGGGCTCTCAGTTGAGATGGTAAAAATAGAGAGTTAGTTTTATTTTGTTTATTTGTTTATTTTTTGAGATGGAGTTTTGCTCTTTCGCCCAGGCTGGAGTGCAACGATGTGATCTCGGCTCACTGCAAACTCCGCCTCCCAGGTTCAACGGATTCTCCTGCTTCAGCCTCCCAAGTAGTTGGGATTACAGGCGCCCGCCACCACACCCCACTAATTTTTGTATTTTTAGTAGAGACGGGATTTCACCATGTTGGCCAGACTGGCCTCAAACTCCTGACCTCAAGGGATCTGCCTGCCTCGGCCTCCCAAAGTGTTGGGATTACAGGCGTGAGCCTCCGCATCTGGCCTATAGAGTAAGTTTTAAAAGGAAGAGTGGAGGCCTGGGGAAATAAATGAGCACCAGAGGGAGGTCATTACGGTTCGAGTTGCTGGTTAGGAAGAGTGAGGAGCGGAACGGAGGTGGCTGGGACTTGGATCGACGACATCCAAGAAAGATGCGAGATACTCACAGTGTGGCTAAAGCACAAAGCCGTGGAATCACCAGAGAGAGGTTTGCAGACGAGGAGGACAGGAAAGCCACAGCATCGGTGTAAGTAGCAGAGCCTTTAACAAACGGAACAGAAAACAGATTCAAAAGTCAAAGAAATGCACCATGACCCGCAGGAAGATCTGAAAGTTTAGTCCCAAAGAGCATAGCATGTTCCAGGAAAGAATGAATGCAGAACGCTGAGGACCGAGCCCCTGGCGGTTTGGTGACGGAACTCCAAAGGCTGAATCAACGTTGCCGCTTCTGCAAATCACCAGCCAGTCTGCCATGGCTGTCTGGGCTGAGGGTGCTCACAGAGAGCTGCTCCTAGATGCTCCTCAGAGAGGTCGTAAACCCAAAGATAGGGGATCAATTTCTCCAAAAAGTAGACAAAACCAAACATGACCCAAGAACATGGCGACAAAACGTCCTCCAAGTAGAAGAAAACAGGAAGATAGGCTTCCAAATGGCAGAAATCTAAGATGACAGCACCTGGGACTCTGGGGAAAGTCACACGGACCCTACACAATTGGGATTTATTCCAATTAAAGAAGTGAGGCAGGGACAGGCAAGGCAAGAAGCGCTGAGGGCAATAGAATGGAGACCAACACTGAGCAATTAACTACACGGGCGATGGTTATTGCAGCAGAGCCCAGCTGCATTCCCAGAGAGAAAAACAAGCCTGATGACATCTCTGCTCTCCACCTACTCGGGCCCTTTCCTCAGCCTCCAGGTGGGTGGGGGCTACAGCCAAGGAGGACCTAGTGTCCTAGGACAGGGGTCCTCAACCCCCAGGCTGCAGACCATGGCCTGTTAGGAACCAGGCCGCACAGAAGGAGTGAGTGGAAGGCGAGCGAGCACGACCTCCCATCCCTTCAGCCGCCACGTTAGATTGTCATAGGAGCGAGAATCCTACTGTGAACGGTGCGCACGAGGGATCTAGGGTGCGTGTTCCTTACAAGAATCTAATCCCTGATGATCTGAGATGGAAGAGTTTCATCCTGAATCCAGCCCCCAACCACCCCCCTGGGTCCGTGGAAAAATTGCTTTCTACAAAACCAGTCCCTGGTGCCAAAAGAGAGTGCGGGTTGCTGCCCTCAGGTGCTCTTGTAAACAGTCCTGCATTGGCGTTGCTGGGCTGCTGGCCTCCCTGGTGGGCATCGATCCTGGCCCCTCATCATGCCCGTGGGTCAGCACCATCTCTACCATCTCACGGGTGATACTGTTTCCGTGCTTTTCTTATTTTTAGTTTTTCCTTTTCATAGGCTTTTAAAATTCTCTTTTCTTGCTTCTATGGACTTGAAAAAGTTTCTTTCTTCCTTTCTCCTCTTTTTCTAGTGCTTTGCACTGATGTTTTTATTTCTACTTTTCCCCGGTGGTGACTGAAAATTTTAACATGCATGTTTAACACAGTCTGAGATCAGCCACCATCTTCCACTGGCCCCGCACAGAGGTGGGTGATCCCCTCAGACTAGCGTCTCCTGCGCCGACCTGAGTGCTGTCCAGTGCTTCTGATCCGCCTTCTTCCTGTACCCCCAGCCAGTCGTGAGCATCCTACCCGTCATTTCTTCTTTAGATACAGCACATTTACCTTCACAAGAACCTCATACTTCCATCCGGAATTTATCAAGTTGAAAAAGACACTTCTGACCCTCAGCTCATGGTCGGGCACGCCACAGCTAATCGTTACACCTGCTGAGGTGAACGTGGGAATCCTTGTCTCCCTCAAGGCACTTTTGTAATGAGTACAAAATGGTACATTTCCTGACGGTGAGCCATCTTAACATTCGTGGGACAAACCCTACTTATGACTTGCTATTTTTAAATAATCGTATTGGAGTCTTCTATTTGATTCAGAAATTGTGTGCATTTGTTAATAATGAAATGAAGTTAAAAATTTCTTTTGTTTTACTGGCCTTACCTTTTTCTTTTCTTTTCTTTCTTTTTTTTTTTTTTTTTTTTGTGTGTGTGTGTGAGACAGAGTCTCGGTCTGTCACCCAGTCTACAGTGCAGTGGTGCAGTCATAGCTCCCTGCAGCCTCGACTTCCTGGGCTCAAGAAATCCTCCCACCTCAGCCTTCCGAGTAGCTGGAACTACATGTGTGCACTCACACACCCAGCTAATTTTTGTACGTTTTTGTAGAGATGAGGTATCACTACGTTACCCAGACTGGTCTCAAACTCCTGGGCTCAAGTGATCCTCCCACCTCAGCCTCCCAAAATGCTGGGATTGCAGATGTGAGCACCTTCACAAGATCTTTTCATTCTTCTCTGTCAAGCTCCAAACGTTGCTGGGTGGTTCTGGCTGGGGGTCTGGGGCTGCATCCCCTGAAGGCTCGGCTGGTATTGACCCACTTCCAGGATGGTACATGCCTTGGCTTGTGGGTGGGAGGCCTCAGCTTCTCACCTGCAGGACTCTCCATGGGGCTGCTATTGGCACAGCATCTGACTTCACCCAGAAGGAGTAGTACTGAGAGAGAGAGAGAGAGAGAGAGAGAGAGAGAGAGAGAGAGAGAGAGACAGAGAGAGGTGTTGTACTACCCTTCATGTCCTAGCCTCCAAGCCCTGCACCATCATGCTGTCTGCCATCTTTGTCACGAGAAACGCACTTTGCTGCTGGCCTTCTCCTTGTCGCTTCTTCTGCAAGTCCTTCTGCTGGAGCCTCCCCTGCTGCAAGGCATCAGCCAGCACTTCACCATCTCAGGAAAAACCACCCCTGAGCCTTCCTCTCATCTGAGTGTGGTTTCAGGTGGTGGAGGAGTAAAAATCTGTGGGGTCAGCCTAGCCCGTTTTAGAAGGAGAAATCCTTCCAGCTTGCTCTTACTTGGTGCCCCCTCTTCTGTTGGGTTCTTGATCTGAAACCTACAGATACAGGTGGACATCAGGTCCTGTCTAGATACTGCACAGTTTTATGTAAAATTCTGTGTTTTTGTGCATGTTTGTAGACTTGCTTAAGGAGAAGCTCTGTAAAAATCCACAGAAGGGTCTATGAACCCAAAGTAGTTAAGAAGGGGTCTGCAGATAATTCCAAATGTGGAACATGGGAGAAAAGACTACTCATATTCATGACTGTTTTAAGCTGAAAAGGTGAAAAAAATAAAATTAACTAAAATTAAAATAGCAAATGACTAGACAGGAGCGTATGCACCTTATATAATACACACATTTCAGGGGCATTTTCTCAAAAGCTACATATTCATGGGGTTCCCTACCGGACAGGGTGGACACCACTTCCATGTTGATTGTTCCATCAGAGCCTCGTAGGACGTCCTCTGAGGATCCTCTTGGCCAACTCAGCGAACCTGAAGGTCATCCATGGACCACGAAGAACAAAGGCCCACGAAAGGGAAGATGTCCCCAAAGTAAAAAAAAGAAAAAGTCCTCTTGTACCCAAGGGAAGGAGCTGACCCAAGGGTGTCACTAGGAGTCGGCGCAGGTGTTGATACGTTACTTCGGGGACTGGAGGCGAATGTATTAGGTACTGGACGCAAATGTATCAAGCACTGGAACAAACGTATCGGGCGCTGGACGGAAATGTATCGGACGCTGGACGCAAAGGTATCGGACGCTGGAAGAAAATGTATCGGGCACTGGACGGATATGTATCGGGCACTGGACGCAAATGTATCGGGCACTGGACGCAAATGTATCGGGCACTGGACGCAAATGTATCTGGCGCTGGATGCAAATGTTTCGGGCGCTGGACGCAAATGTATCAGGAAGCAAATGTGTCTGTTTCCTCTGTTCCAGACCTGGAGGATGCCGCCTCCAGCAGGAACAGCCAACACAAGGTGGCTCTCTCCTAATGGGTTTTCTGTTCCTCGCTGAGATACAGTCCCCTACTCCAGAACACAGTGGGGCTCCAGCACACGCGGGAAGAGTCACCGAGTGCCAGCCGGTGTCTACACCGTGGCATGGGGCCCGTTGACTGGGCTCGGGGCACTCACAGGTATTGTGGTCACGGGGGCAAATGGGCATCCGGTTCCCTGCTCTCCACGGGCTTTCTTTAGCATCCAGTGGGCCTGCACCCGAATGTAGTTGCTGCTTCCCAGGCTGAGCCCGGGACCGGAGCAGGCGGGCACCCGGGCAGGGCATCCTCCTCCGCGCACGGTCCCTGGAAGGGCCTCTGCGGTCCGCAGGTGCAGCTGTGCGGGAGCCCCTGGGCCGGCCAGGCTGGGGCGGAACCTGCTCCACAGCGACACCGTGCGGCGGCAGGAGGAACAGCTGCAGGAGGCGATGAGATCTGGGTCCTGACCCAGCGCAGAGAAGTGTCTGCACCTTGGAATGCTTGGATTTGCTTCCTCAAAAGGCAGCCTTCGATTATTTGAAATTCAAGTTCCAGCAGGCATCCTGTACTTTATCTGTCAACCCTGCCACCCCGGTGATCCGAAAGGCCTGGAAGAAACCCCGGTTGTCACAGGAGCACATTTTCCATGGGGAGCACGCAGCAAGCTCCAGAGTAAGTCCTTAAAATCCCCGTCCCAGTCAACACTCCAAACCTTCCAACAAAGTCTTACACCGAAAAGGACCCTGCCGAGCTGAGGGCTGAAGCCCCGTGTCCTGGGACCTTTGGAAACAGCCCGCGGGCCAGGAGCTGCTGTGGACCGTGAAGGTGTAAGGCCCAGGCATGTCCCAAGCAAGACGCGTGGCTCCAGCAGAGGAATCTTCCTGGGAGCAAGCCAGGAGTCCTGGGCTCAAAATCACCCTCAGCAAGACCAAGGCCTCTGAGCGAGTCACTGCCTGCTCATCGCTTCCTTCTTGTCACATGGACAGGGGAACTCACCGCGGGACACTTGCTAGTGTTTACTAAGGGGCAGCTCCCATCGCAGACCTGACAGCACATTCGAGAACAGTGCGAGGAAAACAGGAGTTATTTATAAAAATGCAAAGCACAAGAGAATACCGGGACCAGTGGCACAAGCAGGAACCAGGAAGTGACCGTGTGCCCAGCCTCTCACCTGACCCTGGGCAGGAGTATAAAGAACCCGGGCTCGGGGAGCTCTACACCTGCACCTCCCTCTCACCTGCTCCTCTACCTGCTCCACCCTCAATCCACCAGAACCATGGGCTGCTGTGGC